GAGAAACTTACCTCGTGTCGTTGAATATTTGATCGATGACGTTTCTCAGTTTTTTTTCCTCGATGAAATCGTGATATTCCAGGATAATAGCGACGCCTCTAGTTTGAGCCGCGGCCGCGTTCGTATATTGATCACCGTAGAAGGGCATGAGTATCATCGGGACCCCGCTGTGAATTCCTTCCGTTAATCCGAGGAGACCACCGTGGCCGAAGTAACACTTAACGTTCGGATGATCTGTGAAACGAAATTCTCTTTGAAATCGAAGAAAAAAAAAAGAAAAATCGTCGATTTTCTTGTTCTTCTTCGTCGTTGCTTGTTTCCTGTTCTCAAATGATCGAGAATCCATGCACGAATAATTCGATGGATGGAAAATGATCGCAAAGATTCCTTGAATTCGTGTTCTCGGCGGAAAATTTCGTGTAATAGAAGAGGCGAGGAGGAGAGGGGGGGGGGCGGAGGGGAAGGAGACACGTAAAACCACCTTTGGGAAACCTCTCGAAAATAAATCCAAGCGTTGGAAATATCGGTGAAAAATTCTTGTCTCCCTCGCGTTTATCGCCCCCGAATCACCCTCTTCTAGGTAGATTCAAAGGTAGATGCTGCCAACGTGTCTCTCCGCGCAGAGATCCCTCTCCTCCTCCTCTCTCTCTCTCTCTCTTCTCCAGGGCATCGATCCTAATGTCAAATTCCATTACCACGCGCCGCCACCTTTTTCTCGTCACCCCTCCGGCAATCCCTCCCCCTCCTCTCTCGATTTGGATACAGATGTAGACGAGGTGTGGAGGAGTTACACGCCTCGGTGTAAGGGAGGGAGGGGGCGAAGGTTGAAGGAGAGCAGAAACCTCTCGAGGCTTCGCGCTCGATACATCGTCGCATCGGCGCGCGTCGATACGTGACAGTGGGATATCTATCGCGTTGAATTTTTGCTGGCAACATCGACGGGGAGGGGGGAATCCGGAGAGGAGAGGAGAGAAATCGGTGGGGCGTACGCGCGATTTGCTTCGAGATTTCCGTCACCCAGCGAGATACATTTTTACGACGTCCCCCGTAACGAGAAAATAACGCGGCGGTATTTCCTCGACTCGATGCTTACACCGTCCTTTTATGAGCGTCGGTAAGCCCACCCCTCGCGAGAATTGATATTTGGTCGTCTATGGGCAAGAGGCGGTCGTAAGACGAAAGTAATGAGAGTAGCGAGCTGTTTCTTCTGGGATCGTAAGTTATGCAAGTCTGGAAAATTGCTTCTCTGTATCTAAAAAAAAAAGAAAGGAGGAAAGAAAGAAAGAAAGAAAGAAAGAAAGAAAGAAAGAAAGAAAGAAAGAAAGAAAGAAAGATAGAAAGAAAGAAAGAAAGAAAGAAAGAAAGAAAGAAAGAAAGAAAGAAAGAAAGAAAGAAAGGAAAAAAAGAGGAATAAAATTAGAAGTTGGACGATAATTCGAAAGGTCGCGATGGAAAATGAAAGGTTGTTCTTTAAATATCAAAAATATATACGTAAGTATGTAAATTCGTCGTGATCCAATTTATTTCTAAGCGATTTCAAGAGGTTCAATCTTCTTTTCTCTCTCTCTTTTTTTTTTAAATTCATCGATAATTAATCGAATCGTCTTCTTCGAAAATAAATCAACCAGACGAATCGAATCGGAAATATATATATATATATACAGCGTATCACCTGGAAGCATCGAGTTAGCATTACAACCGATCGTCCGACCGACTTAATCCAATAGGATCGTAAAGCCGGAAAAGAAAGGTATACCCCCATTTCTTAATGGATACCATGGGAGGAGAAAGAGAGTGGGACCCCGATAGAACGATTCCGCTCTTTTATTCCTTACGGTAATGTAATCTATCGTTTCGTCCCTTCCGTTACACGGTTAAAATACGATACTCGAGGGCATTGCGTGTCAACACGTGCAACCAACTCGGTACCATCGATATCGTTGCTTCTAAAGTCAATTACATTAGCGAGTTCCACGCGAATTGACAAGATCGATCGCAAACGCGACGCGTGGAATCGTGTTCCACAGCGTTTGCGTATGTGTATCGTGTGTTCCGGATTCTGTTTACGCGAACGCGATCTTCCCCAAGTAAACCGCTCTTGAAAGGATAAAACAGTAGGTAAGTAAACTACGCTCGGCGGTACGCGCGAGTTTGCAGCGCGAAAATGTAGTTAAATTTGTCCAGTATAGTATATTGCTCGAGTACTCAATAAGTTATAATCTCGTTTAACAAAATAGCCCGATAAAAATTATCGGTAGCGTAAAAATGAAAAAAAAAATGTTGAATGCAAGAATGCCGAGTCGAATAAAAATGCCGATTAAACGGGCAAGCATTTTTTTCTTTTTTTTTATCCAATTTTTTAAAAAGTTCGCGAAATTTTATTTAAAAGCGATGCGCCATCACATTTCGCGTGCGAAACGATGGAGAAGCGTAAACCGCAGATCTTATCGAGATCACGAAGAATCGTCGAATGGAGAATGGGCGCGGAAAGAAGACGGGACGAAGATACACCGGTCACGAAGCTGGATAATAAAATTAAGCCGATCGATTCCAGCCTCCGGTACTCGAGTTACCCAGCTAAAGTTTTAGCTTGGATTATCTTGACCATGGAGGTTGCCTCGTGTTACGCGATCCACCGACCAACGAAAAATTCGTTGTTTTTAACACTTATCGTTCCCGTTAAGAACGACACTTAGGTTGCGGTAGTAGGAGATAGCTTCGAGAAGCTTTGGAGGAAATCGTTGTTATTATTTAATAGAGTTATTTCGCGATACGTAGAATGCATTATATCATGATCATTTCATTTTATTATTCATGTAGCTTATGAAATAAATTGAAATATACTAGCGCAAACAAAATATAAAGGTTACGTTTAGTTATGTAATATCTCGTAATACGATAAGATATGTGTTTATATTATAAATTTATGTTGGTAAATGAATCATCAAATCGGCAATGAATCATAAACATATGTAGGAATGTTATACGAAAATGTGTAGGAAAAGTTATACAAAAAGACAAATCATGATGATTATATATATTTTGTAACTGAAGATAATTTATGTCAATGAAATACGATTGAAATAAATTATATTGTAAAATGTTTCGTAATGGTTATCATATGTACATCGTACTTTTCAGGTTGAACAAAACAAATGATCCGATGAATGCAAAAAGTTTTACACAAATATATCAAGCAATTTGTAAAATCTAAAAATCTCTCTTCTTTTCGATATATCTATATATCGTCTAAATATTTCGTGCACGATAAAATGAATAGAAATCGATACAATTAAACACTCAAGATCAGATTAGCGACCAATCCAAATTATGGATTACATATATAGTTCCGGCATATAAGTTAACGGCGTAGAAAGCGACAGAAACAATGCGAGGTCTATTTCACCGGGGATTTTAACGGTGATTTATGTTGCCAGCAGGTCGTTAGCGAGTTGCTAATTAAAGTCATTTCACTCGAGGCTGAGAGCTGCGAAACTACTTACTGTCAGAGTTCTCGTGGTCCCGTGTCTCGTCCTTGGCCAGAGCAACTCGTCGAAAGAATATCCTTGCCATGACCAACCGAGTATTCGGGATTGTCTCTTTTAGTTTAATTAGTTTAAACTATCGCGGTTCCACGATAGTAATTAGCGAAGTAGATTAGTTAATCTATTTCCGCTAATTACGATAATTACCATTTTGTTAACAAATCTGACCAATGTTGCGTGTTATGAAAAAAAATTGACTCGACTCGAAGTATATTGAAGCGTGAATGTTGACGTACAAAATTATTTCGTCCATTTCCTTCGAAAAATCGAGAGTAATAAAACGAGGAATCACGTTATTATTATATCGCAACGAGATGCTAATAAGCTTGAATACACATGTGAAGGATATTATTGCGATAATGAATCGAAAAATAATTCGCAACGACACATGTACGACGATAGATATCAAACGCGATACGTAGATATCACAATGACGAGATAGATATCATTTTGGATGGATCGAAAGCTCCTCGACTATGCAAACCGTTTTGAAACTTTGAAAACTATTTGACGTTCGGCTTCATGGGCCGGAATCGCAAATATCGACCGAGCCGAAATCCGCTTTCGATATTTCGCTGCGATTTCCAGCAAGACCGTGTCGTTTCGATTAGTTCGATGGAACCGGCGGAATTTCAATCTCGATTTCGAGATTTCTCGGGTCGTGTCGCTAGCCGGATAATAGATCGTATCGAACCAAGATGTGTGAATTGAATGAAAATCGTAGTAGTAAAAAAAAAAAAAA